GGGTACAGAGGCGGGCTACCAAGCTAGTAAAGGATTTGGAGCATGTCTCATATGAGGAACGGCTGAGGGATATGGGGCTGTTTAGCCTAGAGGAGTCTGAGGGGAGACCTTATCGGTCTCTACAACTACCTGAAAGGAGGTTGCAGTGAGGCAGGGATCGGTCCCTTCTCCCAAGTAACAAGCGATAGAACAAGGGGAAATGGCCTTAAGCTGCACCAGGGGAGGTTCAGGCTGGACATTAGGAAGACTTTCTTTAATGAAAGGGTTGTCAGGCATTGGAACAGGCTGCCCAGGGAGGTGGTGGAGTCACCATCCCTGGAGGTGTTTAAGAGACAGGTAGATGTACTTAGGCACAAGGTCTCTTCCAACTGAAACTGTTCTATATGTGAGAAGTCGTAGCAGTCTGGCAAAGTTCCTACTGACTGGAAAAGAGGAAATATAACCCACATGTTTAAAAACCGAAAAATGAAGACCCAGGAAACTACAGGCCGGTCAGTCTCACCTCTGTGCCTGACAAGATCCTAGGGCAGATCCTCCTGGAAACTATGCTAGGGCACATGGAAAAGGACGGGGTGAGTGGTGACAGCCAGCATAGATTCACTAAGGGCAAATTATGCCTGAGAAGTTTGGTGGCCTTCTATGATGGGGTTACAGTGATGGTGAATAAGGGAAGAGCAACCAGTATCATCTACCTGAACTTGTGCAAAGCATTTGACACTGTCCCACACAGCATCCTTGTCTCTAAATTGGAAAGACATGGATTTGACAGATGGACCTCTCTGTGGATAAGAAATTGGCTGGATGGTCGCACTCAGAGTCACAGTCAATGGCTTGATGGCTGAGTGGAGACCAGTGACAAGTGGCATTCCTTGAGGGTCAGTATCAGGACCAGTTCTGTGTAACATCTTCGCTGGTGACATGGACAGTGGCATCGAGCACACCCTCAGCAAGTTTACCAATGACACCAAGCTGTGTGGTGCAGTGGACACGCTGGAGGGAAGGGAGGCCATCCAGAAGGACCTTGACAGGCTGGAGAGGTGGGCCCGTGCAAACCTCATGAAGTACAACAAGGTCAAGCACAAGGTCCTGCATGTGGGTCAGGGCAATCCCAAGCATAGATACAGGCTGGGCGATGAGTGGATTGAGAGCAGTCCTGCAGAGGAGGACTTGCAGGTGCTGCTAGATGAAAGATTGAATATGAGCCAGCAATGTGCGCTCACAGCCCAGAAAGCCAATCACATCCTGGGCTGCATCAAGAGAAGTGTGGCCAGCAGGTCAAGGGAGGGAATTCTCCCCCTCTACTCTGATGAGATCCCAGCACAAGACAAGACATGGAGCTGCTCAAGCAGGTCCAAAGAGCCAAAAAGATGATCAGGGCCTGGAGCACCTCCCCTATGAGGAGAGGCTGAGAGAGTTGGGGTTGTTCAGCCTGGAGAAGAGAAGGCTCCGGGGAGACCTGATAGGGGCCTTCCAGTACTTAAAGGGGGCCTACAGGAAAGGTGGGGGAAGGACTCTTTACCAGGGAGTGTAGTGATAGGATGAGGGGTAACAGTTTCAAACAGAGAGGGAAGATTTACACTGGACATTGTGAGGGTGGTGAGACACTGGAACAGCTTGCCCAGAGAAGCTGTGGCTGCCCCCTCCCTGGCAGTGTTCAAGGCCAGGTTGGATGGGGCTTTGAGAAACCTGGCCTAGGGGAAGGTGTCCCTGCTCATGTCAGGGGGGTTGGAACTAGATGATCTTTAAGGCTCCTTCCAACCCAAACCATTCTATGATTTATATGGTATGTGCCTACAGATATCTGAGACCACAATGAATAGAAAATCATTAGCCCTATAGATCAAATTGATATTTCATAAAGTTATAGCATACAGAGTGATGCTTAAGACATGAAAATATTTATACTATGTAAATATTCAAACATAAACAGGAAATTAAATCAAATATTCTAGTGTCATTTAATGAAGTTGTTTAAGCCAGCATTACTGTCAAAAGCAGTTGTCCCCCTAATCCTCATCCATCTGCATAACCCTTGGCCATCCCCCTCATCTTCTACTGGCACAAGGCTGAAACAGCACCATGGAAGTTCACCAGAAGAAGGAACTTAGTTTAATATGAAACACACATTAAAAAAAAAAAATCTTAAATTTGCCATGAAACTAATGCTAGAAAAAAGGTCAAATCAACTTCCAAAATCCTGGCCACACATTTAAAAATACCTTCAGACTAAATTACTATTTGTGTTATTTTGCCATGCTTAAACTGCTCAGCCTGGTACTTATATCATGTGGTAAAAGTCAGTCCAGTAAGAATTAACATATAAGCAAAAACGATCCAGAAAAAAACTCTCATGCAACAGTTTGAATAAAGCTCTAAAGAATTAATTTTCCGAACATGAAACTATGTTACCCATTATTCAGAAGATATCTCTACAAATTAATTGCCACTGTTCCATATTCATGGACGTTTCACCAGCTTCAAAGCCTATCAGTTCCACACATTCAACTCTCATTCAACTTTTAGCTCAGTTCTAGGAAGAAACAAATTGCAAAAGCTTTGCTTGATAACATCTTAAACAGAGATACTTTATTCAAAACTTTTTCAGACGTTAGATTAATGCAGAAAGGACAGAAAAGCTTTCCACATTGACAAAGTTACAATTCTTTCCATACAAATGTAGACTAGACCCCTAAAAGACTTGGTTTTGTTCCTACAAGTTGTAAACAAGCAAGACAATCCATATTAAAAACAGCCTTCTATCTGTTGGGAGAAAAAAAAAAAAAATCACAGAAGAAAATTTAAGCTGGTTACACTACCTTAACACCACAACTAACACATTTAACATCAATCCTCCTCCAGAATAAGATACCTAAATCAAGGAAGAGTACCAATAAGGAGTTTTACTGCATCCTTCATCCTCTGAGTGCTTATGTGATCACCTGGGCTTTGTTCTTTTCTGTGTGTGTTTTTTTGTCTTCATCTGGTTTAGTTAGTTTTTTTTTTTTAATCTTTATTTATTGGTTTTTCTTTTTTAACAAAGTTGTTCTTTTTCTATTAAAAAAAATGTTTATAGACTTGATTGCACTGTAGGAAAAAAAAAAAGTCTTCAGTATAAAAGAGTTCATAGTATCAAAAATGCCTTCCCCTTCCCCAACAGCACCTAAATATATAGAGGTCAACAGCAACTGGCTAGTCTAGAGTGATATAATCTAAAAAAATTGATCCCCAAAACACAGTGGAATATTTCTATTCCATCAAGGTTTCAATAAAAAGAGGCTGACATATAGATCTGCGGGACAGGGACACCATTTTTCAAGACAGTACATTGTTCAGAGTTAACAATTTACATCCTGCGAGAAAGTTACAGATATTTTTTACAGAACTTCCTTGTCAGCAGCAAAGGAAATTAAGGCCATCAAACTCGCAGCTTAAAAATTGACATACAGAAAATAGAAAAATACATTGTGCTTCTGGGAAAGCTCCATTCTGTAGGCAAGGATTACCATGACTTGAAGAAGCTGGCTGAGTGGAAATTACATGATTATACAGCTTTTTCTCTCAGACGTCCTTGGGCCTGCCTGTTATGAATAGAAAGAGTAATCTTTGAAAAAAAAATCCAGCAGTAAAAGATTTAGCAACTCAAAATAATATACTGTACTTTTTTTAATATATGAAATTATTAGCCTGGCATGGTCTAAGCAAGAGTCAGCATGCAAAGCTCTACAACCTGTTATCCCCTGTAAGTAACAGAATGCTAGATATCCTTTCCTACGAGAGGTAATGGAGGACAGCTACCAGAAACACACAACTTAATTATCATATTTGAACTTCAAGTCAAAAAGCATCATTGGAGTTTAGACAGGCAGTGAACACTGCAGGGAGCATATACAAGTACCTTGAGAGTTTTTAGATAAAGAAATCTAACCTCTCTATAACATTTTTGTAAGTAAAGCTACTAAAACACACACTTCAGCTGAACTGCACAATCCCAGAAACACAAGAGCAGCTGGATGCATGTCAGTACTTCTGTATAACTGCAATAAAAACCCCACTTTATATTAAATACCACAAAGTTACTGGCAATGATGGTTTTTGGCCTAAAAGCACTGTTTCCAGTACAGCCAACTCTCTCCATTTTTTATCTGTTTACATATGCATGCTTAATTGCTGTTATATTATCTTTTCTAACTGACCTTAGGATATGTACTAACCGAAATGCAGCAAAGTTTTAGGCAAAGTAGCAAACTTGAATGTTATATTATAGGAACTTACCTTTGTTAAGTTTCCTTTTTTTTTTTTTAAAGACAAACTGGTCAAAACAGTAAGGTAATGGATAAAACTCAGAATGTGAACAATCAGGAATGTTGTATCTCAGTATATTACCTTATATTTTAAGACATTTTATACGGGGGGGGAGTGAGCAAGTGGCTGTGTGATGCTTACTTACCAGCTGGGATTAAACTACAACACACACCCAAACAAGTACAGTATTTTTTGAAAAATTCATGACTTGGATATGTTTTTTCAAGCTAAATTAACTTGTTAACCTAAAACAAGATACCTGCTGGTGGCAAGAGTAGTCTTCCTCCACTTCAGCTCCTTCTTCCTCAATTTTCTCCTCTTCCCCTTCCAATACAGTTGTTTTAAACACAGTGGTTCTCTGAGCAACCTCCTGGAAGAGAGTGATTTTTAAGACTCGACTCCTCCTGGTGCTAATCTACTCAGATTTTGAGAAATGGGAGTTCCAGCTATTGGGAAAGCTACTTGTACTGATTTTGTCTATATATTTTTCATGTACTGCTGTGCATAAATAACATTCATAACACCTTAGTTTTAAATCTCTTTAAGATTAAAAAGTCTTTCTAACAAGACACTCATCAAGTTCTTCCAAAATTTGGGATTTGTTTAATATATTCAAATATTTTCTTTCAATTGCAAGGTGTCATAGCAACTGTCCTAACCCAAAGTTTTAACTCGCACCTTACCCGAATTAATGCCTCACTGCTTAAAATGAGTTTCACTGTAACATTCCCCACCCCCCAAAACCACACAGTTTTAAGGAAAACTAATTTAAGAGAAAAATCACTGAAGAGTTTTCTAAAGCCTTTTCTTTTCAAAGCATATTATAAGGCACTGCCCAATTCCTTGCATGAGTGCAGTGTCCAAACAAGTAATTCTTCTACTACTTATACTCGATACAGGGGAAGAATTTCACACGCTTCAATAAACTGCATTCCTAAATTGCAGTTAAGACAGACAGGTGTACAGTATGCTTGGCTGGAAAGCAAAAGGAGAAAACTTTATAAAATACGCATGTGCATTCATGTGTGAAGTCCTAACAAAGGTTCCATCTGCATCTTTATCAGGGATGGCACACAAGTTTAAACATATCTGAGCTACTTTACCTCTCCCTGAGAATTTTTCAGTATAACTTCCACATCTTCACCAGTGTTCCAAGAATTCTGGTTCTTCCAGATGAGGTCAGTGGGAGGGCTAGCAGTTACTCCAGCATTTGCAGCCCAGATCTGTTAAAAGAAGTCACACATGAGCATTATTTGTTAGCCTTACACATTTCCAGATTACTTGAGTTAAAATATTCCATTTAAGTGACACTGGTGAATCTCCTTCCGTTAAGAAAATACAAGTCTTTGCCTACCCACTTCCAGGGGTTTTTTGGGTTTTTTTTTTGTTTGTTTTGGTTTTGTGGGTTTGTTGTGGGTTTTTTTTTTTTTGGTTGTTGTGTTCTGTGGTTTTTTTTTGTTTGTTTGTTTTTTACAATAAAACACCCCCGTGTTTTTTTAATGCAGAGACTTTTGAATATGTAAATGCACACATTTGTGGTCAAAATGAATGCTCCATGTAAAAAGTAAGTTTCTGAAAAATGTGTCCAACTTCTTCCCAGCAATTGATACAACTATGCCCAATACAAATACAGGTGATTATCTTCTGAACATGTATATAGAAAGGACAAATTAAAAACCTTGCATCTTATTGACAAACACAAGTTGGCTTAAAGCCCATTTCAACTGAACAGCTGAAGCTTGACAACTTACTGTTACAGTTTGGCCTGCCTTTAGTGTATATCTTGAGGTATATCTGTAACTAGCAGAAGAGTCTCCTGTTTTTCGGATCATCTCCCAACCTCCCATAGGTTGATCCTAATAAAAAGGAGTAAAAAAAAAAATTTCAGTCAGCAGTCATTTTCTGTTACGCATGCTGGGTATTTTACGTATAAGGCCGTAAGGCACATATAATTTTCAATAAAAACATTTACTATTACTTGATCTTCAGCATGCAGTTAGAAACCTTTTAGTTAAATTTGTCTTATCTCTTATTTCAAGTTAAAGCTTAATACATTCTGCTTTTCAGTTCTGATGTTATATTAACTAATGTTTATAATTTGCATCAGTTTTGTTATAGCTTTGTCCAGAAAAATACATAAATTCAAACCCCCTTACAAATAGGTAGTACATTTTTTTGAAGCATAGAATGAAAAGCAGGCTTAATAGAAAACAAAATATTCCTGTCAGTCATCTTAAATATGTTTCTACATATGCACACCTCCCACTACACACTCCTTTGTAAGACCTACATTATTTTTTCCTTTCAATTATTTTTTGTGTATCAACTACTTGAAAAGCACTAGCAAATCTAGTAGAAAAACATATACAAGTCACTACAGAATGACTATATCAAAACAAGAGCAGATCTTTTTTAAGTTCTCCCACCAACAGCTTCCAAACATTAAACAGTTGCCACTGGAGCCTGGAAACTGACAGTTAAGATCACTTAAAATAAATAATCTTATTTATCTTAATGGATGCTGATATTCAGTTGGTCATGGCAACAAAACATACCATACTTAGAGGATTTTATGTATTTTCTAGCTTTTTTATATATACATATATAAACTGTCAAACACTTGTGAAAATTCCCCAAGTACAGCTTATTACATTGAACTACAGACGGTTGCTCAAATCTAGACCCCTGGCGGAAGTGCTATAGCTATGAATCATCCGTGGCTACTGATAACAGAACTGACAGTCCTTCCATGGAACAATGAATGTGTAGTTAAATTAAACAAAAGGCAGTGAAACCCACATGGTACACAAAGTGTGTGTGTGAAATCCCATAAGCCTGAAAAAACACAAAAAGGAAAAAAATGGCAGGTCCTGACTCACTAGAAATAGTCTTTGATTTGTCTTAATTCAGTAATCTAAACACATTGCTGTCTAGACAATTGTCAAGGTTTTTTCCATTCAGTAAATGAAGTCAGCAGTCTCAGCCAACACCCCAGGCAAGTAATTAAGACACATATGTACCAACATCTGGAAGAGTCTGTCCATCTCTCCATTGATTAGAGGGGACTGAGATACTTGGAACCAGACCAATCTTTGTTATCTAAAACATCAAGATGAGCTGCCTTTTAGTGCAGGTAGAAGATCTGATGACATTAGACAAAGCCTGTGTGTCACTGAAAATGAAGAATGCAGCTAACACTTTTACACACAGCTTAGGCACAGACAGCACAGAAAGAGGCCAGAATTACTTAGATCTTCTCCAAAATCAAGGATGCAAGAAATCAGGTCTTGTAATTTTGGTATCCTAATGAGACAGTGCTCAATTCTCTCTTCTCCCAGACAAAGGATTTAAGAAATTATAGTCCCCAGTCTCCAACCCCTCCTGTGATGACCCACAGAACAGTACATAGCACAGGACTTTCCTTGCTTAAGCAGAAATTACAAGTAATGTCAGGGGGGTGGGGGCAATGGGTGCAGGGGGGAAATGTACTGAACAGAACAGTATCATTCTGAGGGCAACATAAGAAAAAGTTTTGAATATTACTCAAATGAAGTTCTCTCTGATAGACAGATGTGCGTGTTTCCCCCCAATACAAAATCCAACTTATTCACAGAATGAAATAACCTGAGTAGCCATCATAAAGGTGGCTTTGGCACAGGAAAAAATATAGATGCAGCCAAGGAAGAAGGAAAACTATGATTTAGAGAAGTCATATGCAAGTACAAGGGACATAGGCAATTAGTTACATCTAGACACTTACTTTGCACCAGTACATACACATTTCTTTTAAGGCAGAAAAAGTTCTTAAAAGGCTTCTGAGGTAGCCTAACACCTGCTTGCAGTATTTCCTATCAATGACAATGTTATCTGTAAAGCTTTACAGGCAGGTCACTTGTAAGGCAGAACCCTGAAGAGTTATGTGACACTTTGGTGGGCAGGCAAGTTAGCAATAAAACAATTGCTATGAAAAGCACTAAAAATCATTAGGAAGAAGTCATCATCAATCCAGAATACTGTATGAAACCTTATTTTGTGACACACTGATTTTTTAGTGCCATCTTTTAATACAGCATGCTTCAGCTCTAGTGTCAACAGGAAGCCTGAGGGCTGAAAGGGTGCTGAGGATGCCTTCTACCTCTAGTCGGTCCATTGTAAAGTTGTGATACGTGTGCATTTTCAAACCTGTTCAGAGGTGTTCTTCAAGCAGATGAATCTTCCATCAACATCTATCTCCTCAATATGGACATTTCCAGTGGCAGAAGCTGAGTGGGAAATGTGAACACTACCACTGGCTTCAGATTCCTCCATATCAATTCTCTTCCTCTTCCCTCTGGTCACACGCACAGTACTCCTTGATGAAGCCTGTGAAACTCTCACTCGGGAAGACGGGCCTGGAGAAAGTCTCAGCCTACATGGAAGAAAGGAATAAACATGCATGCATCACACTTTGGTTTTACTTTTCCCACATTTCTTTCCCTCTCCTCCTCTTCCCATAGAATTATACAACAAAAAGATACAGTAAACAAAAAATGCAACATGAAAAAGTGAAGCCTTAGGTACTTTTGGAAGAATTGAAGAAAATGTTGCCAAACAGCTGATTAATGCTTTTGAAGAACAGAATACTGATGGACTACTACATTAAGATCATAAAGGCATCTTCATGCATTTGTTGAAGACTGTATTCCTGGGTAGGCAGAACAAATAAAGAAAAAGCTCTTAGGGGGAGTTAAGCCATTGTAGGAAATTTACGCAAAAAACCAACAGCACAAGAGCTTTCGCTGTTTCATCCCCACACGTGAGAAGAATCTGCCTGGACCCATAGGATATCATTCAGAAAACACTGAAGTATCAAACTACTTTAAACGACTGCTGTGACTTACCAGGTGAAAAGTCTCAGTATTACTGAGCTCTGGGTCAGATGTAGAAAATCCAGCTAGCTGATAAGCTGGACAATTATAGCAGCTATTACTTTATTAAAATTATTCTATACCTAAAGAAACTTGGCTAACAATTAAATAACCCTATAATTAACTCTGAAAAAGAATTTTAACCATGGCAGCAAATAGACCTACAAATGACAATTCATTGCATCCTCAGTGCTGAATCCCAATAGAAGAATAGTATTTGTTCCCTTGAGAGCTACTGGTCTGACACTCAAGCAGCTTGGTCTCATGGAGACTTAGGTGTGCATCACGAGGAGGCCAAAACAAACAGTGCCTTGGAAACTGTAGTAAAGCACCTAATGAATGCATTCCTAGTAAGAACTGCCTTTTAACAGATAATGAGACAAGTAAGGGAAGCACACAGATGGCAGCATTTGTTGCTACATTCTTTCATACCTCTTCTCTTCATCCTCCAGCAATTTCCGGTATGCATTGATTTCCATATCAAGTGCCAGTTTAACATCCAGAAGTTGTTCATAGTCACTCAGCTGTTCCTGCATCTTATTTCTTATCTCTACCACTTCTTTCTCTTTCTGGGACAGTGTTCTGCAACAGTCTTCCCGTTCCTTGGCCAGCTTCTCCTCAAGCTCTTGCACTTTATCTTGCCATGATCTAGACTAGAAAGCATTGAAAACATCAGTGGTGCAAAGGAAAGCTCATCCAAACCTCCTTGCACTCTGCTATTCAGGCAACAGAATTCAAAACATTAGGTTAAGCATCCTCCCCCCTTTCTGAATTCAAACTTGCCCATATTCAACTTCCTGTTCTCACCTCACTACACCTCTACTACAAAAATAACACCTTAAGTTCCAATGAAACTGACAACATATTTCAAAAGACAACTACCTGCTCCATTTTTCTGAGATCTGAAGATATGTTACTACACCTGAATTTACTCAGTCAAGAAAAATTGAGCTTAAGAGTCAATTTGTTTAAGATGTGCTGGACAGGACACAGAATCAAAGCGCAGCTCAGTATACTTCAGATCCTGTAGCATGTAATTGCTCTTTAGCTTTCAGATGTCTGCTTCCTGCTGCCAATTCTGAATTCTGGGAGGAAGTTCCTCTAAATAGGGAACAGGGGTGGTTGTCAGTGAAAGCCTGTCTGCCTCTTATCAAAGCCTTCAGAGGCTTGCTGAAAGCACAGTGGCAAGTGTTCCATGAAGAAAGCATCATACACTTTAAAAATCAGATCAAGCCAGTAGAACTTAATATTGTACATCCAGAATGGAATGCTTATCAAAGAAAGGCCAAATGATGACAGCTTTAAGGTTTACTTTCCCTGGGTATGCTTTCTTCTTTTTGATAGTCTCTTGAGATTTTTTTCATTAAAGGACGCAGGAACCAAGGTCTCACAATCACCTTGTCTGGTTAAGTCACCAAGTTTGCTATGCAGGCACTCTATTTAGGAAGTCATCATAGCCCAGTGTCCTGGTTTCAGCTGGGATAGTTACCTTTCTTTCTAGCAGCCAGTACAGTGCTTGGATTTGTGCTACAGTGTTTTGGATTTAGTGTTGAGAAAAATGTTGATAACAGTGATGTTTTAATTGTTGCTAACTAGCACTTATCCTGAGTTAAGCATTTCTCAGTTTCCCACGCTCTGCCAGCAAGCAGGTGTACAAGATGCTGTGAGGGAGCATAGCCAGGAGTACTGACCCAAACTAGCCAAAGGGTTATTCCATACCCTAAAACATCATGCTCAGTGTATAAACTGCAGGGAGGTGCCAGGAGCAGGGGGAACACTACTCGGTCATCGGGTGGTGAGCAATTGCATTGTGCATCCCTTTTCCTGGGTTTTATTTCTCTCTTTTTGCTATATTCCTTTCCATTACTATTATAATAACATTTTATTATTATTGTTGTTATATTTTATTTTAGTTAAACTGTTTTTATCTCCACCCATGAGTTTGGTTTGGGTTTTTTTTCCAATTCTCCTCCCCATCCCACTGGGGGGGTGGAGGGGCAGTGCCTGTGCGGTCTGTAGTTGCTGGCTGGGGTTAAACCACAACATCCAGTGACAATGAAAGCAGACAGACTAAAAGGCTGAGACTGACAACCAGTTACACTGGTCCTCTATGTTAAGAGTCAGATAAAGAATTTAACAAAACAAGTTGAGTGTCACATGGAAGATCCCAATGGAAACCACTAGAGAGCTCAGTGTTAGTAACTCAAACCGGACCAGCATCAGCAATAAGAGTTGTCTTCTTCCCAGAGGACAAAGCTAAAGCTAGTGCTCTAACTCTACCGGTTGACATCACTAGCACTATCAAAAAAAACCCACGGCAGCAAAATGGGGTTTTTGGTGGACAGTTACAGTCAAACTGGCAGGATTGATTTTGATAGCCCTGAAGTTAACAACCAACACCTCTGCAACTTCTCTGCACCTAGCTGTCATTCACAAGTAAGCAGCAGAACACAGGTAATTAACTAATACAGGAAGTAAAACAATCCTCAAACACCTGTTGGCTGAACCACCAAAAGAAAGATGATGGTAATCTAAAGGCAGAAATAAGATCTAAGTAGACAAAACTCTCAGTTCAATTCTTATGTAACCTCATGCACATTCATTACATCACCTGATCTTTTCCAGAGACTAACTTGTCTATATAACAGGAAAACTGGGAAGACTCATACTAGTAACTGCCAAGTTATTTGGAAAATGATGAAATATCTGCTGCATTTATATTCTTCACTTGAAATAGACACCGTTTTGCAGTCCTACAAGAGACTACTGTACAGGAGGAATACAATTCAAAAGGTAATCACAGAAAGGATCAAAGCCAAATATTACTAATATTTTATATTTTAAAAAAAAGTTTTGTGGCTTTTCAACAGATTACTAAGTTAAAAAGCCCACTTCAGAACCAACTCCCAACATTTCTCATTTTCACTCTAGATTTTCCACTGCAGTGCACATGATGTTACTCCCATGAAATAAGATAGTACTGAACATATGGCTTGTCATAAGTTGTGTCATAGTTCAGGTGTGATCCAAGTAAAATTAGTTTCTGCTCAAGACCCTGCTCTACAAATGCTCAAGTAGTTATTTGATGTATTTTCTCAGTCTCATATTTCATCCTAATCCTGGTAAGATCACTTTTTTTGTCTTTAGAGTTCTAGATGAAAACTGGATCTAGGAGGAAGTAAGACACCAAACAGACTGTACATTCCAGCTCTGGCTTTGAATGTTGCTTTGTGGAATCTTATGCTAGACTGTCCAGTTACTTTTAATACAGCATTCTTGTCTAAAATTGCCCCACCTATCTGCAAAAGTTTCTGCAAAAGCCAGTTCACAGTACCACCTTTCAAATACTCACTGTATAGCAGGATACTGCACAAAGAAATTAAGAGTTTTTCTAAAGGAAGCATTAAGAAATTTGAAAAAGTACAGAACAGTAGAACAGAAGACAAACTCAAGTCATGATGCTGAACACACAAGTTAAGGGAAAGTACGTCCTTTTAATATAAATCAATTAATTAGCAACACTCAAGAGTCACAAACAGCTTGTTACCTCTTTCTGAAGGCTGTTGAGATGGGAAGTCAGATTATCAATTCGTAAGCGACTTTCATTGAGTTCTTCTCTTGCTGAGTTGGCTGCAGAACTGTTCATCTCTGAGGACAGTCTAGCATTCTCAAGCTGTAGTAGATCAAGTAAAGACATAATGAATGATCAGTTTCAAAGTTTTAATAAAAGTCAGTCACCAAAACCCACACACAACGCTAAGCCAAAGTTATTCTTTGCAGCCCTAACACAATGAAGCATCTCTTTCTTTAGGGGTTAAATATGGTGGCTCAATTACCATGCTGGATTGCCCTGCCTGGAATCACAGTCCTCTGAATATTTAATCTAAGATTAAAAACTCAGAAGTTTCCCTTGTAGGTATTACTGAAGTTGGACTGCTAAGTTCAGTTTTCATGCTAACATTGTCTAATGTTTAGCTTTATATATTTAATTAGTGTAGCACTAGTTTTCTGTATGCTTAAATAGAAGCTAAACTGAAATTACCGATCCGCTAAAACAAAATTTGTTAATTTGCAGCCAACATAAGCAAATTGGTAATACGCCTTCAGATTACAGTACCAGTGCCATAAGTCACTAGTGCTTCATTCTACCACAACTTCAAGCTCAAGTAATTTTGTATTTTTAAACTGGCTACATCATTCCTGCCGAGCACTACCACAGACTTATTATTGAACTTGTAGTTGCAGACTAAATGGAATCTAAAAAAAACTGTTTTAAAATAAGAGTTCAAAAATACAGAAACAGTATACCTGAACAGAGGGAACAAGAACAGATTTTTAGAATTAAAAAATATTTTTAAAATATTTTTTGCTAGACCTGACTTTAAATAATTTTTTCCGAGTCAGACTGAAGCCCTGAAGATAAGCAACTCCACACTGTTAGGATGGTAAAGACTGATGCTAATAAATTCAGTTTGTATTAGCTTTTCTGCTGTAATATCCCATCTTGTTTTAAAAATATTAACTGCAACAAGTATAGCCAAAGAAACCAGGTTCAGCTGAGACATCAGGATCCCTCCTGATAGAAATACTGAATCATAGTAAAGCAAGGAAATTATGAAGTACAACTGATTTCAGCTTGAGTATACTTCCTCTCTAGAAGTGTGAAAAGCAGATAACATTGGGTGTGGTAAGACTTCCACATGTTTTATACAGGGTCAGAGGACTTGGGATGCAGTCTTCTCATCAAGTCCTATTGTTAAATAAGTTTTATACAAAATATGGAACACCTTATTGATCATCAAGAATATGTTACAGTTGATACACAGTAACACATGAACTTTCCTTACTAAAATTCCTAGTAATTCATAGTAATCCCAGTTCTAACCACTTTTTCCCCACAGTTCATCTTCACACAGTGCTTCCTACTCTCATATCCTACTCTGAGGATTAAACATGCTCCCAAAATGAGACCTGAAAGTACAAATCCACATTCAAAAGCATGGTAGTTTTAAAACAAGCTCCAAAATAAAATCTGCTGAAATGCAAGTAATTAGGGTATGTTTCCATTGAAAATAAAAAAAAAAGTACATCGGACAACTGTATGAAAAGATGTTCTCACTTTGATATAGTAAGCACATGCAAGTTCTTCTCTGTATATCTTCATTTGTGCATCATGCTGCGCTCTCATTTCACAAAGGGCTTGGGCCAGTTTATGTTCATATTCAATCTGATGCCCAGAATCGGCCTCAACTAAGCACATTTCATGCTTCCTTCTTGTCTCATTGATTTCCTAAGAAAAACAGAAAAATAAAATAACATTCAGTAAATATGAGACAAAACAAGTTTTAGAAGTCTATCCACTGAGTGGATAGAGATGCAGATTTTAGCTAGACTTGTGGATCAGCACTAGTTTGTTTGACACTGAAACTTCCACTAGAAATACTGGGCCATTTCACCAGTCTGATCTGCGTAGTACTTTATTTTGCAATAGCCAGTCACTGAAATAAGAGCTAGGATACCATCAGCGTGTAAAGTCACATTTCTTTCTGCGAGCTGACTGCATTTTCAACAAATACACCTCAGTATGACTACATTTTAGAAATAATTCTCCCCTTCTTTTAAGTACCTGCTATGCTAGCAGAAAATGAAAACACTGAAATTAAACAGTCACTTTGACTAACCAGCATTTCCCCATTTATTTGTATGGTTGCCCACGGTCTCTGGAAAAAAAAGATTCCAACAACACTAACAAAACTGAAAACAAAACTAACAAAGAAATGTGCACACAGAACAAAAGACAGTATGGTAAGGTACCACTTTGTTACCGCTTTAAAGTTCCTCCTGGAAAGCCTCAAATAGTACAAGTGAAAGGGAGGGTGGTAAGAAAAAGCTTTAGAAGACAAATATTCATCAACTTCAAAAGCACCCTACTAGAAAGTTCTGAAATTAAAAAAACCCAAGCCACTACAAGTCTATAGCATCTGTTTGAGTGACCCTCTCCACTTTGTTTCTCATAAAGGGATTATGTGAGAAATTAACCTACTTTCTCATCACTATGAAAAGACATGTACATTGCAATATCATGGGCAGAAACAACATGATACACAAAACCATTTTATCATAGAGCTCTGAGTTAACATAATTTTTCCTAGAAAAAAGTTGGAAATCTTCCAGCTAGAATAGAGATAAATCCTGCTGAGTCAGAGTTCAGACCAGATGACTTCCTGAGGTCACTCCCAACCTAAATTATTCTAGTATTCTAGAATGACAACCTCATCTTACTTTTAAAAATGTGAATTCTTGAGACTGAAGCATTTACCTCCTCATACACAGCTTTACGAAATTCCAACTCCTCAATGAGACTCTGACAACGGTTTTCAAGATCCACCTTCAGTAAGGTTTCACTTACAAGCTGTTCCTTGGCAGCAGCTAAAGAACCTTCAAGCTTTGAGAAAAAGTAAAAGAATCAACACAACAATGATTATGTAGCAGAACTCACATAATACAATGACTTCAGCTACCTAGAAGCAAAGCTAACTACAGAATCACAGAACAGTAGTTCTACATGTTATGGTTGAACTTAACAATAAAATTCAATAGTTACACTACTAATACATTTTCTCCTCCTTCTGCAATGGCTTGCACAAGTGAGTTCTAAACATTTCACATTGATAACTATCATTAAACCGCTACTTATCAATTTTCCTTAAAAAACTTCAGGTTTTCTACATGGCACATGGTCTCCTGGTCTCCTCAACTCAGCCTCTTGAGCTGGTGTTGCTTAAGATCACAAATCATGTGTTTCAAAGAGTTAACAAAACTAGCACAATACTTTTTCCCCCCTTTTCGTTCTACCAGATGCACAGAAGATGGAGAACCACCGGCAGAACCAAAAGGACGGCAGAGAGAATCACAAACTGTTACTTGTCATTTATTATCTGTATTGTAAAATGAGTCCCCTGAAACAGCTCTACAACTTGCCAAGTTTTTTTTGACACTTGACCTGCCTTCCCAGTACCATCCCTGGCAATTTCAGAGTCTGCAATTTTAAAAGCACTCTATTCCACGATTCATGTTATTAATAAAATGAATAGTACTGGACATGGACACTTAATACTGCTTCCAATGTTGACAGCGAACCACAGTTTGTTCTACCTGCGACTAGATGACAGATTTGCACCTTTTTTGGCTACAAAGTTGCATCTCATCAGAATGACAGCTCTTACTGTGAATGTATTTTTATATAAAACCACCTCATTTGCTAATACTAGCTTGATGGTTAAATATTTCTTCTTCTCACCTGTGCAATTCGAGTTTTTAACTCTTCAATTTCTCCCTCGAGACTTCTATTACTACCAAGGGCTGTGGCCAGTGCAGCTTCTTTAGAATTGAGGGCTGCTTCAGACTCTCGAAGTTTTACTTGGGCTCCATTAAGATCAGATTCCTTTTTCGCATAGCTGGAATAAATCAAAGAGAGTGGTAAGAAAGTCTAGAAACGCCCTCAAAGCAGAGTGCTGACTATTAAAACAAAAGGTGCAATCTGAACCTTAAACTTGAGAGACACCCAACATAAACATTTTGTCTTGGCTTAATTTACTTTAATTCAAATCCTTAGTTCTACTTTCTCATCTGATGTAACAGTAGCTTACTATTTTGCTTGGGCTGTAAAAATACAGGGGAAACTCAGAGCATCAAACAAGTCTGCGAGACATATATAGAAAGTGGAAACTGTGTGTCTGTTAAAGGCACCTCTTGTTTTGTCTTTAGCTAGCCAAGTTAAAAATGTCCTACCTTGACCAGAATCTTAATAGAAAGAAGTAAGTCCTCCCATCAGAAGACTCTTTCCATAGGTTGGAAACAAGTAAATTATCTTCATTGCTTTTTATCCGTGCAAATAGCTCACTTCCAATTAAGAGACCAACTTCCAAATGAAAATTTCATTATTGAAACATCATGAAAATGTTCACTATCCATAAGCAGAAGTTTAACATAGTGAACTGCATCACTGCACCCTTCTAATCATACATAATAGCAAAGTTCCACAGATCTGAGGAAAGATACCCAAATCCTACCTATACAATAGTCTACACCATCACTCAAACTGTACTGATGCAGAGGTATAAATGTTTTTCTTTATAAAAGTAAACACACAAGATTTTCAAATTGCCACTCAGATTAGTTTTCATGTCTGCAACAAGCAGTCAAACAGTTTCTAGGGGTTTACTCCCTAAAATGGCATATGCAAACAAAGAAGTCAAATGAGAAAAGTAAAGTAATACCACATAAACAACCCACACTTTTCAGCCTAAATTAGTGATTCACAAGTAATGATACAACAGGCTACTATCAAAAACAGGGGAAAGGAAAACCATATTCAGGAATCAAAATGACTTTTTACCTTTAGGTTGCACAAGCAGCTGTGTTTAAATGTGTAACACAAGTTCTTCCACCTTGAAGGTGATACTTTTTCACTCTGGGATACCCACATTTCTCTAGTAAGGGAAGTAGTGAATAGAAGTTCTAAATGTTTAGAATCAAACTATAACATTTTACAGGAATGGACAGATTCAGGCTCAGTAAGACAATGGCTCAATAAGACAGCACATTCTTCAGTTTTCACACTTCTCTTTGCAGAAGTGAGAAAATCAGAATTCACAACAATAAACTGAAGAGACTGACAACTGGGTAAAGATTCTTAAGAACAAGATTCAAAAGCGTTAAAGCAGTAATACATTTGCTACTTTTAAATCACCGTACAGCTTATAAGAAACATTAGCAATGCTTCTTAGCAAAATGAGACTAATGAAAATCAACACAATTTTAAAAGTAGAGAGTAAAGTTTAATAGATACTTTTCCACATGCAAGCATGTGCCATTAACATTGTGCTCAAGAGAGGTGTGTGCACAAAGGCTGGCAAAAAAACATCTGCAGAAATAAAATTAATGCTTGGATGTTTTAGCACTACAACCACAAGATGGCAAGCTTTATGTAACAGACTTAGCACCAGCTAATCGCGCTCCTGTTGAGTAACACCACCCTCACTGAAGAGGTAGACTGCAAGAGCCTGCAACACACAGAATCTTCTATACTATTTTTTTTTTCCCATAGCTCAATGCTATCCAGTCCCTCCATGGCATTTTACATATCACTTCTTAGACCCAACAGTTCAGAGCAGTTAGGTCCACAGCTCAGAAAAAAAGCACAGAATTTTCATTTTGGACACATGGGCTTCTACTTCCAGCTCTCTGCATTATTCACTGGAGGCCTCTGTCTTGTTCCTTCCCTCCCTTGCAGGCCTGTAGTAACTTCAGCATGCCAGGACGCCATATAGCAGAAAAGGGAAAAGGGGGAAGGAAAGGTGTCTTGCTATGGTACATCTGTAATAAAAACCTCTCTATCACCTATTGGGAAGTATAAGGGCCCACATCAGGCTTTTGTTCTGTGATCATTACTGGAGAAAGCTTTATTCAAAACATGGAGAAACTGTTTCACTTGGGCTCTCTCACAAGACTTCATGCTGAAACCAAGCATACCAAGTTGGCTCCTGAAACTAGTAAATCACACATAGACAGGGCCATAGCGTGCAGCCCCCCCCCTCCACCCCAAATTATCCTGGACTCCAAAACAGGAAGACTCCCCATGTACATTAAAGTTACTTTAGTTTTTTTGGGGGGGTTCTTCTTGTTGTTGTTGTTTGGGGTGGTTTTTCTGTGGGTGTTTTGTTGGTGGGTTGTTTTTTTTTTTTTTTAAATGCAAATACCTCTACCAACTACAAACTGGTAGGCAGCTGAGAAGAAAGCTCTTGCAATTGGGGTAGCAGAGAAAGATGTGTAATATGGACTACCAACAACAATATGATTAAAACCCAGTACATTACTTGCACCACTAAATTAGGTATCACCAGTTCTGAGCCCAAAGTACCTTCCTTGTTTGTGTGCAACAAGATTGGCTGTGAAGCAATCCTATAACTTAATGCAAATCACAGAAGGGGGAAAAAAAGAATTAAAATTAAGCACTACTAGTCGTTAGCATTATGAGTTGTCTAATTATTGAGACGGCTCATCTGAACACATTCTCAGAATGAAAACAGAAACTGGAGCTCAAAACTTCAAACGCTGAAAGCCAGGTGAAATCTCAACAACTCAGCAGTATTATTCCAGCCCTAAAGGAATATGGGAAAGAAATGAAACAAGATCAGAAAAGCCTCTGTGAATTACAGAAACAAACACCAAATGTATACAACGTATACTTCACCCTTACACCTAGTAATTTTTATCAGGAAGAACTTCAGCCTCTCGACAATAGCTTTTTCCTCCATAGAAAGTCAAACCTACATCTCAAAACAACTAATAAAAAAAACCCCTCAAACACCTTCCTGTTGTACTGTTCAGAAATCAGCCAGAACTGTACTCCTTCAAATAGCTTGGCTCATGAAAGAAAAATAAAAGCAAAGAAATAGTCGCTGACTTGCATACACTTCAAAGCAGCAGCTTGTTTTTCTCCCTTTTGACTTCAAAATCCGTGGATCTTCTTACCTGTGGAATTGTAATTTATTTTAAAACAGTGCAGAACTAGGATCTGCCCCCCCCAAAAAGCTGGTTCCCATTCGTTTTTGCTGTACTTCAGGGAAAACTTGCACTTCAGAAATTTAATCCACAATATTTAACTCACATAGACACTATGGAGTGTGAAGAACTCAGTCTCACTCCTACCTAGTGCTACCAGCGCAACTCTTGCTAATGGAGCTCAGCACGCACCACAGCAAAACAATGCCATCTGTTTTCTCCAATACACCCCAACCGCTCAAGCAACCTGACAGCAGTAAGCATCCCACAGTGCCACTCTCAGGAGTACAAATAACCCTTATAGCTGCAATACATCTGCCCAACTCGCCACGAAACAAGCTAATTTCTCATACCAGATGCAGTCTAGCTGAGGCACAGATTTCTAAGCAGGTTAATTTGCTCAACATTCCCCAAACTTAATAACCTGTAAAGAAGAGCAAGTCAACTCACAACTATAAGGTACTGTGGTTAAGTTGTGTCTGGTTACCTGCACTAGATCATTTAAAGCTAATTCAAAGCTCTCAAATACAGATACCAAGGGGCAATCACTGCAATGGTGAGACTGCTTGGATCACTTGGTTTGCAGTTCAGTAAACTGGCCACTTAACTGAACAGCTCACTGAAAGAGGCAGGTTTCCTTTTCACCCTTGCACTATCACCCTTCTTCCCTCAACCCTGAGGTTCATAAACCAGCCTAGAATTTCCTGTAATCTCCTTAAATTTCTTCCTAAGTTAGTAGAAAAGCCACACAGGAAAAAGATAAAAATAATTTTCTACCAGTTTAATAAGCTGAATTGGACTTCTGGAGCCAGACAAACCACACACCTAATGCAAAGTAAGCAGGAAGACGGCTCCTTTCAGTCAGTAGCCAGATGTCTGGTTTAATTTGAAGTTCCTTTGAAACTGACCAAGTGCAGTATGCCACCACCTTACAGGACTTTTTTTTCCCCCTCACCTCCCACACCCACCCGCTCATTTCTGCCAGTACGTAGAGAGTCAGATCACAAAGCTAAGCATTACCAACATTTAACCAATGCCTCCTCGAAAAACCATTGGTTTTTAGCCAATTCATGACACAGCTACACAAGTGTTGTAACTCATGATAATGCAGCTTATATTTACATGCATATAAAATTACACAGTACTGCACATTGAGATGGTTTTCCACTCCAGTTGTGGAGAAATAAGAAAATAAATTTTAAAAAATGAACTATAGTCACTAATGCTTTGTTTTATTTAGCTAGCAGTCAGTTTTCCATGTTTTTTCCCCTACTGCAGACAACACATTAAGGCTATGTTTCACAATGAAGTGATTTACAATAACATAAGAAACATCTGGTTTTTTATATGGTCAACATGACAATGAGAGTTATTGGACAAGCTTGACTTTCCTGCAAACAAATATATGTAACTTGGTTTTAACTTGTCTTACATCACTCACTTCATCTAACTGGAGTGCAGAGTGTTTGAAATCAACACTAAACATACATCATCTCTAGCCACTTATTGCTCAACAGTGAGCCTTCCTGAAGAGCTCAATCACATGAATCAGACTACTCTAACCAGCAATCTAGGCAGAACCTTTACACGTGCAGTGCACACATATCAAGTCACTGCCCATGACCATGTCACCATTACATGTCCACATACTCAAGACCAGCTTTAACCCTACAGCAAATCATCCCTTGCATCGTTATGTCCTACACTGCATGGAAGACACTCTTAGATAACTTAAGTTATATTCTTGTATTGCAACTGCTTCGATTATTGTGTAACAAGTTAATCATTCCCTTCCTTAGTTCTCTGGGTGCTGTCTCCATGCTACATAACAGAACAGTGATCGATTTCAGATTAAAGTTTAGAAGTTTCCAGCCACCAATCTTCACCTCAC